GGTCTTGGTCTTTCATGTGGGATCTTAGTCAGTTGTTGATTTTCTTCTGCACTCCGTTCAGTTTCATGTCAGTTTCCCACATGAGCCTGTTAGTGATATAATATTAATTGCCCAGAAATGTCAGTCTGCAGTCGCTCCAACATCATTCCTTTAATGAAAACAGACTTCATTGCTTGTATTCCTATTACTTTAGCTACTTCGATTTCTATTTTTATAGCAAAGATCTGTGCAAATAAAAGAATATCAAAAGGTATGCCTATAAATGCACCGCACTAAATCCCCTCTGTGTTGAAATGCCTGTGAACTGTTGCTCCACAATGCCTGCTGCGTTTTAATGCCTTTCTCCCAAGGCAACATGACAGAGAAGAAACAGCTAGGGTTTTACAGGCACACAAATCCTGGCCCGCCGCGCAATGCTCATATTTCCTTCTTCTCTGAGCCTTGGTGTGCGAGTCTGGGAAACGCCAACAACAACACTGTCCTCACAGATTTGACTGAGGAGGACAGGAGCACAGATCCCGTGTCCGGGATATCCCAGCTGCTCCATAAAGCTAGATTACATGCTGCAGACCACAGCAGCAAGGAGAGAAGACTGCGCCGTGCTCAGACTGATACCCATTTCTAAGAAGTATTCCTGGGGAAGGAATTATGAGCAAGGAAGAGTAAGTTTAGAATCCAGGAAAGTATGTAGTGCTCTGGTGTGAAGGGCTTCACATATGGTCTTTATTTATGACTATCGAGAGCTGCAAAGAAAATGAAACCCATTACAAAATTAAGCTCTGTCCAGCTCAGCGGTGTTCTAAGAAGGGCCTGTTTAGAGATACTGCCTTTAAAGACACAGGCTATGTAATTGGCAAAAAAAAATCCTAAATAGCATAAATATCTTGCTATATAGCTTGAGTTAATTCAATATTCTAAGACCATTACTAGTCACCTACATATAGACACAGCTATTTTTGTAAGAATGGCCAGGTTCAACTGGGTGTGGTCATGCACAATTATAATCCTTGCCTTGGTGGAGAAACAAACACAGAGGATCCAAACTCTAATTTGCCCAATAAACAACAAATACAGAGAGCCTAATCTTCCATGTAGTGGTGTAGATGTTTAATCCTTTAAGAGCTTCGAGCTTCATCAGAACTTGATGTCACTTCTGAATATGTCAGGTAGAAGGTTTCCCTGAATTCCTGCTACTACGTTCCATAAAAACAAGATGATAGACCTGGTGGCACCTAGGGACCTTCGGGAGTCAAATCCTGTGTGCTACCCTTAAGTCCCTCATCGTTTTGTGTCTGCTAGAGGCCCAAGTCTCTACGATATAGAGAAGATAGATGATTTCAATCACAAGTCGCTCCAGTCAACAGGAATGTTTGGAGTCATACCAACTTTCTTAGTCATCTATACCTGATTGCCTTCTCTTCTTCATGAGCAGAACATTAAACATTATCTTTTAATATTATTTTCAGACTTTGAAGTATTTTCCAAAGCTATTACACTAGAATTATAAATAAAGTCCATTCAAGTGTTTACCCTATGGCTTGGTAGTTTTCTGAAGTCCTAGCTTCAGAAGGATTCTAAAGTTCTCTAGGGTCCTTCAGAAAGAAGAGCGTAATTTATTTGTGGTGCGCACTCTGACCAGACAGCAGAAATAAAGGTTTACATTAATATATGTATGGTATAAGTTATTATTATATTGGTTGATAACATTGCTACAAAGTATCTATAATTCTAGCATCAAATTGCTGAATTTGCATAACTTTAACACAAAATAGAATCAATTGATTACTATGCTTATGACACTATAATATATAACATTTTATTAGTTTAGTGATAAGCATGTATTATCTACTGAGAGGCACTTAAAAATGAATTAGAATGTGTGATTCCTAACGTTAACATATAAAACACTTGGAAAACTATACTGTTGTTACTAAAGGGCAGAAAGAGGTTTTTTAGAAACGGGGAAATAAGACTATTCACACTTGGGAGAAGACACAGCACATTTTGCATGGAGATACTCCATGACTTTCCTCTTGTTTTTCACTGGGGCCAGATTTCTCTTCCAGGTCCATAGTCATGCTCCTGTCGGCCATGAGGGACTTTTGTTTTTTTTTTTTTTTTGAATGCTGAACAACTGCTTTTATATTCTTGCCTTACTGTCTTATTTGAGAATGGCAAGCTGATCAAACCCATATTTTTAAATTTACGTATTTATAGGCATATGGAAGAACAGTTTATAGTCTGAATTCGATTTTTTCCCACCACAAATGGAAGAATATTGTGATGTTTGGTCCTTTTATAAAAACAGTACCTTGCCAGTCGCTTTCTTCCCTTTTTCTGTTTTCCTTTATTACTGATGACTTCATTCTACTTGAATTCAATGCTTCAGTTTCTTTGGGGTAAGCTAATAGATTATGTATGCAATGTTTGCACCACGTTGATTGAACTCATCTGGTGAGTTTGAATGCTGCTCTTGCATCTCTGTAACCAGCAGAAGCCTGTGCATTGGATCCAGCCCCTGCAGTCCTCTTGTATTACTAAGGAGCCAGGCACCTCTCGGCATAGAGCATGCTGCTCTCACTGCATGCGCTTCAGGAAAGCCTAGCAGTCCCTTATTGTATTGAGGGTTATCTTTTTAAATTAAAAACAAAAAGGAAGGAGAAATAGAACTATTTTAAGAATTTTTCAATACATAGGAAAAAGGAAGGTCTGTGTCATCCCCTCTGCCCCCCCCCCTTGTAGGCACTTAACTTACTCTTTTTTAAGTTTTATTCTCATTATTTTCAATTATGTGTGTGCATGTGTGTCTGCATGGGTGTGTGCATGTAAGTAGAGGTGCACACATAGACCCAAGGTGGCAGATTCCATGGAGTTTGAATTATAGGTGGCTGTAAACATGTGAACATATGTGCTGAGAATCAAATTCCTCCTAAGTACGGAGCCTTCACTCCAACCTCAGGGTTTGCCCTTTCTTAGTCAAAAGCATTGATTGTTGATCAATTGACATCTCTAGTGGACCTGTGAAGCCCAGTGGCCAGTGCATACTTACTGGTGAGAAGCCACACAGCTAACATGTGGGCATGCTATCCACTACTTTCCCATCCAGTAGAAGACCTTGTCCTGAAAACATGTTTACTTACAACTTTATTTCTTATAACTTCCTAGCTTAATTTTCAAATACTTTGTTTTGAGTTAGCTTTTTTTTTTATAAGGTGTCTCGTTTAAGTGTAAAACTAAACAGTAATGCCTAAAGTCCTTTATGACATGCAAGGTTCTTCACATCGGGGTCTCTACATATTTATCCAATAGTCCCTTGTTCCTCTTCCCACATCCCTCCCATATAGCCATAAACTACAAATTGATTCTTATCCAAGACTCAGGTCATCAATACTTACTAATAACATGAGGAAGGGATCACATATCTTCTGATGTGAAGGGGGTAGAACAAAGGTAACTGGGACCTCTACTTGCCCAAATGTGCTGACTGGTGAATGAATCCCCAAAGCAAAATGTTTTTGTTCCTATAAGTTTCAACTAGAGTATCACCTCCTCTATGGAGCCTTCCACTATCACCTCCCATGGCCTGCTCTCACCCTGTCAAAATTTAAGCATTCATGTTCCCACAAGCCCTGTGCAGATTCTTCCAGCGGTGTCATACTCATTCCTCCAAGACTGTGGTTCGTGTAGTCAGACATTTCTCTCCCGCCCATTTGTTTCTGGCATCTGCTTCCCAAATAATTGACTCGAGAGCTTAACACAAACTGTAAATGCTCAGCCAATAGCTCAGGCTTTTTACTAGGTAACTCTTACACTCAAATTGACCCATATTTCTATTTATGCTTTGCCATGTGCTGGTTCATTTATTAGCATGGCACAGTCATCCCCTGGGCCCACTGCGTCCGGCTGGTGATTTTCCACTTCGCCCTTCTCCTTCCCATCATGGTTAGTTTGATTGCCCTGCCCACACTTCCTGCCTGGCTACTGGCCAATCAGCGTTTTATTATACTAATTCGAGTGTACAAATCTTTACAGTGTACATGAGGATTATTACACAGCAGATTCATCCAGGAAAGGATATGAAACGCTCATCTTTACATCTCCAGATCTTAATGTGAGGTCTGGCACAGTGGGACACTCAATCGTTAAATGAACCTGTGAGGTTCAATGGCAGGTCAAGACCTGTATATCTGTTTTGTCTTGACTCCCTGGGCCGATTATAAAGCATAAGCATAAGCATAATCCTGGTTATGTTAAAATAATCATAACAAATTAACCCAACCTATAAAGGTGCCACTGGTTGCCCAAGGTGGCACTGGGCAAGCTGTAATCTTAAGCAGAATCAGTGGGTAACACAGAGAGACATGACCCTTAGACAAGGAGCACACTGAAACACTGGGCAGCTGTCTACTTCCCCTACCCAAATCTTTCCCTTATTGCCATATCTTTCACTTTCTTTCTTTCCTGTGGTCTATCTTACTCATACAGTGGCCTATATCCTGGCACCCATCCCCTAACACACACACGTTCTTGAGTTTCACTGAAAGGAATGCTGGTGCATGCCAGCCAATCATTTGTCACATCCAACCTTCAGGTCAAACACTGGGATTTGATCTCAAATAAGCAATGACATTTGAAAGAATGAGATACCCATATTGAAATTTAACCAAACACTGCATATGTGATTGTAAGAAGAACACAGTGAGTTTTTTAATTGCTCTAGAAGCTCAGGACATGATCTTACCTTCTCATTCCCAAAAAGCACTTATTAATCCCAAATCAGATGCCTTGGTACTTGGAGCTAAATGTGTGTGTGTGTGTGTGTGTGTGTGTGTGTGTGTGTGATATGTCCTTTCTTTGCTATTATTGATTTTACCATTTTCCTAGTTTAAATTGCATTGTCACATTTCAAATTTGGACATCAGACCCTTTAACAGGGAAAGGAAAAGGGGATCTCCGAGGCTGATACCCACCGTGTGACTGTATCTATTCATGTGCTACAGTGGCCGTCCCATGACTGGTAACAGTGACCGCATCCAGAAACTTCGGAAGGAGTACTATCAGGCTCGAAGAGAAGGGTTTCCTTTATATGAAGATGAAGAGGGACGAGCAGGGCCATGTGACCATGACCTCCGCTGGGTAAGCCCATGTCTGATTCCAATCAGAAGTTTCTCTCGACCAAAATAATTCAGAGCAGAATTCCAAAGTCAGGTCAAGAAATTTCTGTGCATATCAGGTTGCATTCATGCTTCTTGAGTTTTATAGATATGAACTTTACCCAGACCACAGTCATCTTCTCCCACAGAAGTTGTTTATTTAAGTCAAACCACAGAACTGTACTTGTATATTTTGTCTGCTCTCTTGCTTACTTTCTGTTGGGTACCTCACCCTTCTGGGGCAAGTAGGTCAGCCACTTTAAAGAAGACAAGGAACATTTGTGTGCTTTAATCCTCCCACTCCTCCTCTTAGACCTAGAAGTAAATTTCAGAATGTTGTTGTCAAAGATATCTACTGTTTGTATATGAGATCTGAGCAATTCATGTTCCCCAGATCTTACCAGTATAATAGCATGGTGTAAGGGCCGTGCAGAGGTGTCGTGTACCTTTAATTCCAGCACTTGGGAGGCAGAGGCAGGCTGATGTCAGTGAGTTGGAGTCCAACCTGGTCTACAAAACAAGTTCCAGGACAGCCAGAGATACACAAAGAAACCCCGTCTCAAAAAAAAAAAAAAAAAAAAAAAAAAAAAAAAACAAATAAACACAACAAACAGAATGGCATGTCCTGAGATACAGGGAGTTTTTGTAGGGTTCACGGTGCTAATTCATTCAACATCCAAGGAACAGAAAAGAATCTTGTCAGCACTGAAGGCAGACTCTGATTTCTGGGTAGCACTTTCCCTGTCTTGGAGGTCTACCTATAAAATACACAGAACTCATGAGCACCCACAAAAAATGCCCAGGGGCAGAGCTTAGAGTAAGGTGATAAGAACTCTCCACCTACAGTGTGTAACTTGCGGCTGGCACTCAATACATGTCGCTATAAGTATTAGCTCTAGGTACTATTATTGGGAAAGAGCTAAGTGTGACCATTGTAATGTCCTGGCTGGAACCCATCCTTTGATTCCTCTTGGATGATTGGAACCTTCTAGTCTATCATCTCGGACAACAAGCATATTAAGTGGGAGTTTCCTGCTCTGGGTTTCACACACATTCACAAGATCACGGGTTGGAGAATGTAGCGAATGCCCTTTAGTTTTCACATCTGCATCATATGAGCTCGTGAATAACATGTGGTCAAATTCCAGCACCTCCCACTGTTTTCCAGAACAATGGCCCCTCAGGCCAGGAGGTGCTGTTTCATACAATAGAGTTTAAAAACACTAATGGAGCCGGCAAGATGGCACACACCTGTCATCCTAGCACTGAGGAGTCTAAAGTAGGAGGATCAATAGTTCAAGCCTAACCTAATTTTTGTGGTAAGATTAAGATACGTGAGATTCAGTCTCAAAAAAAAATCCAAAGAAATGTATAAATTCATATTAACAAAACTATGTTGTGTATATTGGTGATCCAAACCCAGAGATGTCAGCCTCTTTAGGGAAAAGCATGTCAGACGATGTAGCGAAATCAGTACCTTTATGTTTTATACAGATGTTAGAATTAAATAGAATGACATTCACAGTGGGGCAATGTGTCTCTTAGATTCGCCATAGTAGAAAAGAAAGATTTCTATGAAATAACAGATGTAATAATAATTCACCCTGTCTCAAACTTGATCCTTATTGATTTACTACCTTAGACAGGAGATGAGGGGCACTTGTTAGACAAAGCTCAGACTCCCTTAACAAACAAAAGCCAGTGGTAAAGTGATTGCCACTATCCCAGGAACAGAACATCTTGTCTGACGAATTGAAAAGTGTTTATGAATTCCTATGAGCAGAATAAGAAAGTGGTTTCAGAATGGCTAGCCCTCGTTATCTTGGCTTTGTTTAAAGATTTCTTTACTTTGAGCTAGGAGGATGAGGATGCTAAGCCTCAAAGAGACTGAACAGGCCTGTGAAGCTCACCAAACCTGAACTGGAGGCTGATCCCTTGGGAGCTGCCTTTTCTAATGATTCTCTTTATACCAAGCAAACTTGTAACCAAACAGTTTAGTGACTGAAGAAGTATCTATTTTAATTTGTGTTTCCCATGCTCTGGTGCATTGAGCTTTGCCAAATGTGACTGATTTTGCTTTTCCCAGACAATTTGAGTCTAAGGCATCCCAGAGGGATGCTGGGAACTTCACTGTCATAAAAGACAAAGTATCTCTGTGATCGCCTGAGATACTCCAAACTTGGGATTAGCATCTCAGCATCCTTTCTACTCCTTCCCCTGTGCCAAAGGGAAACACTGGTACCTTTTGTCTAGGGGAGGCCTATGAGAGCAAGTTTAGAAAAATTAACATTTTATTTCTGCCTCTCATCCAGACCCAGCAAAACATCTTTCATGAGCCTGAAGTGTCTAGAGTAGGCTGGTTCTCAGACCACAGAAGTTCATGTTAAATTCAAATCAAAGGGCAAGGAAGGAGAGCTACCCCTAGCAATTTATAATTCCCCAGGTAGTCAACAAGGAATCTGAGATTCAGACTCAATAAGAGAAACTGAGCATTGGTTCCTTCCATTTCCATAAATCTCTAAGCAATCCCTGTTTGCTAATAAAATCATCATCATCATCATCAAAATATTTCACAGACTTTGAGATGTCCCAGTAAAATACCACATTTGGTTCAAGAGGCCTAAAGAAAGTTCCCCACAACCATCCTATTCCAGAAAATTCTGTGCTCCCAGGAAACTAGGAAGATAAATTATCCTATAACTAATCCTCCCTTGCTATCCTCAGGACCACTCTGCAGATAACAAACCTGCATATGTTCAAGACCCTTATTAAAATGCTAAGGATTTGTATAGAACCTTTAGACTTTCTCCTGTATACTTTGGAGCATTTATGGACTATTGATGATATCTAATGTAATGACAATGTTAGGTAGATAGTTTTAATCTCTGCAATTTAGAGAATAATGATAGGAAATTTCATATGTATTGAGTAATATGAATTGTGTCTGTGTGCTTGTGTTTGTACAAGTGTATATACACATGTGTGTAGTCAGACTTTCTTTGACCATTAGCTCCCAAATAATGACATGGAGACTTCTTACTAATTATGAAAGCTTGGCCTTAGCTTAGGCTTGTTCCCAACTGGCTCTTATAACTTAAATTAACCCATTATAGTATATTATTCTAAATTCTGCCGCGTGGCTTGTTACCTCTTCTCCATAGTGTATATTCGGCTTTCTCCATCTCACTGGCGAAATCTCCACCTCTCAGACTCTTCCCAGAGTTGCTCTCTCTGACCGGAAGTCCCCTCTATCCTCTCCTGCCTAGGTATTAGCCATTTAGCTCTTTATTAAATCAATCATAAGGTGCCTTTGACCCAGTGAAATGTCCTACAATATTTCCCCCTTTTGTCTAAACAAAAAGGAATGGGTTTAACTCCTAACACAATAAAACTGTATACAATAAGAACAATTATCAGGAAAGAATTACATTCACCATGTCTACTCCATCTTTATTTGACAGCTTTGGAGAAAGTGTTCTATTATCTGTTCTATCCTGGCGAGTCCAAAGTATTGTACCTAAATCACTTTGTATCATAACTTGTATCAACAACCTAAAAATATCTTTTTAGACCTAAAATAGTTTCTTAGATAAACAACTTAACTCTCAACCTTTATAAACTTTACATCCAGTTTGGACAGCATATTGTCAACAGTCAAGGCAAGAGCAGTTTTTTACACAAACTCTGTATAGTGGTTCTTAAGTGCCCATCATCTTCTCTGAAGTAAACTGGTGCTGCCAGGAGCAGATATATCTCACTATCATGAAAAGCTGTATGTTATTAAAAATCTTAAATTCTGTAGAACTCTGAAGTGTTTAAAGACCACCTATCTATCTAAAATATATCTCTGTTTGGCTTTGAAAATATACCTAACATAACTACAAGTCTGATTGTTATAGATGACTAACTCTTAACCTGCATTTTTTAATTATCCTAAATAGTTTGTAATAATTGCTTTTAAGAACTAGAACTTTATATTACATTTTTAAGTGAGCTTTATGGGTACAATACCTTAAATAAGAGTAGAAATATATATACAGTGTAACAAAAATAACCTTAAATCTGTATCAATATACAAAACCCATACCAATGTAAACATTTAAGACTAATAGTTGCTTTTCAGTAGATTCAATAATCTACCATTTTATCTTATCATCCCTATATCCCCCCATTTTTCCTTCCAGAAAGAGATCCTTGAATCCAACCTCCTTTGATTAGTTTCCTATCTGACTAATAACAACTTGCTACTAACCCCCTAAACAATGACAAATATACAAACCCACTGAGTGACCAAAGATCACACACCCAACCTCTTGGGAATGTGGGCATCATGTTCCTAAAATTACTGCCTGCTGTGTGAGATCGACGGCGTCTTTAGGGGATCCTGAGAATATTGGGATTGTGGTCAAGCCCTGGGGGAGCTATCTCTATCATTTGTTGTTCATTCTCTCTGTGATGGGAGAGTGCAGAGCTTATCTGAAGACCTGGCTGGAATGGTCTGTGAAGCTGGACCACATCGGGTAGCAGCTTTAAAGCTGTGCTAAATGCAGATTTTTGAGCACACTGCAACTGTCATTCTGAGATGACCTGGGCTACTTGTCTTCACTGGTGCCTGGTCCTTTCTTTATCTGAAACACACAAACGTTTAAAGGTAACATAGATATCTGCATTAGCACAAGTATGGAATGTGCGGTGTGCACAAGTCAGCTCAAGATGATTTTATGTTCTATATTTGAGCAGGTTAAAGGCATCTGTCAACTTTATAAGCCCTATGGGACTGCATAACCCATCTGTAGTATAAATCTCCAACCATGCTATATGAATGAATGACATGTAATAATAAGTCATGAGGACTCCGTTGCCAACAAGATTTATCATGTCTCATCCGGCCTCAGAGCTGTTTTCATGTTGGGGGATCAGACTATACATCTCCTGTCCTATAGTTTTTGTTTTTTTTTTTTCCTTCATGTCTACAGACAAACC